TGAATTTTGTTCCTCAAAAAGGGACATAAGTGATCTGCAAAATTTTATATGCTAAATACTTTAGGGACCCATCATTATCTATAACTGGTGTTGTGGCATCTTAGAGTTACCTTTTTCATGGCTTTCTGAGAAAATTTGCCTATTATAATTTTATACTAAAATTTTAGATAGTACAGATCTCATCAATTCTGATTAGTTGACACAAAATATGTTAAACAAGATTGATAAACAAGTTCCTATTGACCACTTCATATGTCTAAATGCATTTCCTCAGCCCCATAAGAACTTGAGGTTTACTATAAGTCATATATATTGATACATATGAATATAGGATATGTTATCGATATATCATTAGATATAAGAAAGAGTTTGTCTAATCATGATAAAGGTCACAAAATGTTTGATTAATCTTTTTTCAAATCAGAACTGCCTATATTCTAATTGTATGTTAAGTAGGTTTCAACCTCTACTGCTTAAAAAAGTTTTAATCAAAAAAAGTATGAAGTTACCTAGAATACTCAGTGGTAAAACTCATATACAAAGCATTTAGAAAGTTTTTATCCTATTTTCAAAAAATTCTAATCTGAAAAACTGAAAAACTAATACTATTTCATCAATTTAAACTCAAGTTCAAAAATATTATCAGTAATGTGCAAGCCAGCTAAAATATTTGGAAGATTCTTGTTAATCATTAGTACTAATAGTCACTAGCAGGATATGTTAATCATAAAGCTAGATACTATTCTTCTTTAAGGAATTAAATCTGAAATAAAATGTATAGATAGGTAAATATAACCATATTTAGATAGGAATGGATTTAATTAATGATATATTGAAAGACTTTCAAGCTGATCATGTTGATATCAATATAATACTTAAGCCTTTCTAATTATTTTCTCTCCATAAATCTTAAAACTATAAAGTCCCTCTTATTTGCTTCCACCTTATCTTTATAAAGATTTAGTAGAAGTCTATTCTCTTAGATCTCTCCATAGGAAGAACTGAAACAAAACAGGCATTTGTCAAGAAACAAGACTGATATATTGCATATAAATGTCTTTATGACACTAGTATACTTTAAGGATACTGATTTTTTTTTGATAAAAGAAAAAATAATAAACCTCAAAGTAGTTTTAGAAATAATTTTAACTTATTATTATCTTTATCGATTCTAAATATATATCTTTGTATCTGTGCTTTGCACAATGTACACTTGTAATTTGAAAATCAATAAAGTTAGGCATAAGCCTATCAAAAAAAAAAAAATAATAATAATTTTATTAAATATTTAAAAAAAAAAAAAAGAATTTACCAAAAATAGATTTAAAGAACTTCAAACAAATCCATCCCATATTAATGATATAATTATCCTTTGAGAGGCTTTAAAAGTGAACAAAGTTTATCAAACTTTTAATCATGTGATAAATCTGATGATTGAGTTTGTCAAACTTTTATTATTAGTTGTAATTCCGGCCAACATTAGATCTATAATCTCAGTAAAATTAAAATTTGTAATTCCGATTGACATTAAATTATAATTCCAGCTGACATTAATTCGTAATTCTGATTGATATTAAATTATAATTCCGGTAGAATTAGAATTTATAATTTTAGTCGGCATTATGATTTTTCGTGATAATCATATTTCACTCTGAGATGTCACTGTGATTATTGTATCCCGTAAACTGAAGATTCAATAGCAGCACAAATTTGATATGAGCAAATCCAATGTTTTTTTTATTTTTAGTAAACGTGTACTCATATCCGGCTTAATATTCTTTTTCACCGAGTATATGTCGTAAATATAGTTGGTTAGATTGTCCAAATCAGGTTTCCAAATCTGTTATTAAAACGTTTATTGTTTCTTTCCACTTTTATCAAGATATTTAATGCGCACTCTGTCAAGTGATTGGCTGAACCGACCAAAAAACGAAACTACATGTTTAACACTATCAATTTCTTCCAATCTCGTGAACGAGACGAGTATGTGCAGAAAATTTCTAACTTAGATTCTTATTTATGTATGTCATGACAAAATAAAACTGTCTTGTTCACTCGAGTAATCCACCATAGATAATGTGACTGTTGACATTTGAATTGGTCTAAAGCCTTGCTTCTTGCATTCAAGTCTTCCGTTTTTTAACACTGAAACGTGATAAATCATGTGTACGGTCGACTAAGAAAATGACATCTGATTTTTTTATTTACATTTTGGATTTCGGTTTTTTGAGGAAACCCAGCACCGTGAAACGAGATAAATATATGCCGAGATAGTAACGCCCGATTTTTTTTTGATTGACATAAGAAATCGGGTGTCACTTTTTTGGTCGACTGTGATATAATGGGTCTATTTTTCCTCATCTGGATATCGATGCCAACTTACGTTACGCGAATTGTTTATAAAAAGGCTTACATATTAATACACAGCAGCTTATTAAATGAGAATTCAACATTGTTAGTGAAGGTGGGAGATATCTTTCTCTTTCGCATCTGAAAAACAAAAAAAAAAAATCGGCGTACCCGCACATCAAATTGTTTCGCTTTCCCTAGTATGAATGAACAAGATGAACTCCAACAACAGAGATTTGGTTGGTTAAAGAAGGTTAGTCGTCACACGATAATGCATTCGTAGCGATTCGGCTCCCAACGGTAATTTAATTTTCCTTTCACCTCGTTAGTTTCGAGATAGCATCGTGGTGACGAAGCATACAAAATTATTCGTCCTTGCCTCAATTTTGCAACTATGTACAGTTGTCGCATTAGAGGGTCGAGTGTTCTACCGAAACAATACGTTCAGAATAAAATTGGTGAATGATATGAACGAACACAGTGATAATTGTTCCAAACTTTCCATCGACCGTATTTCACTTATTGAACAAGAAAATGCTATATTTATTATTTTTCAATTTTTCCAACTTTGGTTTTGCTTGGACGCGGTATTGCATCGTCAATGTCTTGAAAAGAGAGTTGTTTATCTTCGATCGTTGCTAATCTTTTTCTTGAAATAAATTTCAGGTTTATTACCAAAATACAATTCAGGTAAGAAGATACCAATTGGTTGGTCGGAAACACCATTTCATATATATACACTCCTAACAAATTATTACGTACTAGATCTTCACAATTGCTATAATAAATTTTTTGTGTGGACTTTGTGGCGTAGTAAGTTTCTAAAAGACACTATGTTGAACGTCACACATTATTGATTGTGTTTATTTTAGGTTCAAATTTTCGAAATCGAAAAATGGAGTTCTGATTTAGCTTCGGCTTGTAAGAATAATCCTGAAAATATATCTAAAAGTTTTTCCAGCTATGATGTGCCACTTGTGGTATGTCTGATTGTCTTTTCATTAATTATTGGATTCCTTAGCTGGGAGCTTTACAAGGTAACCCATTTCAACTGTTCAGAATAGTGTATATGTCATCGCTTGTAACCGAAAACTTTATGAATCAAGGATTTCGGATGGCGCATATATAAAAGAATAGGCGCAGATACTCGAATGCAGAGTAATCTTGTTATTTATTTAAATACTAAGTGCATCCATTTAGTCTGATGTTTATTAATGAGACTGCTTGCTCCACCACATAACAGAAATGTATAGAACCATGCTTATTTTTGTCATGTATCTAAAACTTGACCTGTTCTTCGTCCTGGTCACGGCTGTGGAGGTGTTCGGGACATTTGATCTCGATAATCGCAAGGAAAATAATATTTCTTTCGTCCTTTCCAGCGGTCTGTACTATTTTCACATGG